AAGGGACTCTATTTCATTGTCATTCTGTTTTAGTTTTGTGCCTTACTGGTGGGTAACCTTGTGCCCAGGAAATCTATCTGGGGACTTGTTCTCTGTGACCCCTCCTGCCCATGGTTTTTCTGAGAGCCCACATGAGGCCCACAACAGAATAGCTCATTTGTTAGTGATGAGACCGAGCTCTGGGGGTGCTGTTGAGGGTTCTTTTATAAAACCTAACTCATCCCAATTGCCAAATTGGACTGAATTGGCCAAACCGGACTAGACTTGTCTGGCTACATGACTTAAATATATTCCATGTATAAAGAATTTGGGGTTTCCACTTTCTTTCGTTCCCTAAATCCTTACTCCCTCGGAACAGAAGAAAAGCCATTCTCTCAGGACCCTCCAGGTAGGCCAGTGAGTTTCAGCCAGTTGAGCTTGTGAGTGATCCCCAAGCCTCTGATGGCTTCCAGCTTCTTTCTATCATAGAGCCTTCAACTTTCCCGTTTTACACTCTTAAGTGTACCTGCAATTGTAAGTAAATGTACATACTGTATTTCAGAATTAACAGTTTCCAGAATTAACAGAACATAGGTGCCTTGTGGTTAGCCCATACAGGATATATGGTGGGCATGCACCTTCTTTACTAACCTGGGCATGGCCTTTGAAAAATCCAGTGGGGATTTCAGAAGCAAAGCACCCTGAATGATGATCTTGAGAGCACATTGTGAGGCATCACTGGCTTTATCATTCCAAAGATTTTGATATTCCTTTGAAACAGGTTTTCCATGATATTCCCACAAGCTAACCCTGCAGAGCAGCAGGAAGGCTGGATTTCACTTTGATTTTTTTTTTTTTTTTTTTTTTTGCTGTTTGTGGTGGTACGATCTTACCCTTAAATGTTTTAGTGTATTACTCCTTAAGACTAGGGCTTTTATTTTTCTCTGAAAGATTTCTTTTTAAAAATTCTAAGCTAGGAATTAGTGGTGGGGATATAATTCCTTTTTAGAGCAACCCATTACACATAAGTTGGGAAGACACATTTGCGTTGCTATCAAACATACACTTGTGTGTATTGCCAAGGGAAATATTCTCCCAAGCTAGTCTTTCTCAGTTCTGAACTCCGTACTGAGAATATATTTTTTAGCCCATGTTTGCCTAACTTGAATAAGATTCAAGGCTAATTTTCAACCTTGGTTTTTCTGCCTAAACCACAAGGCTTCAGAGGCCCCACAGTGGTCGGCAGGACAGGCCCGCTTTGTAACAGCCGGTGACCCCGCAGCGCCTCGGGAGACCACCCGTCAAGCGCAGAGTTGTTGGGAAGCGCTTATAGCTTATGGAGTCTCACTAGGGTGACTTAGGCCCCTGTTGTTGTGCTGACTCTGGAGAAGGGGGTTGTTTTACAGGAATTTTGTCATCTGAATAGACCAAGTATACAGATTATAATGTAGTTTTTGTACCTGAGTGTGTCCACATTAGGGAAGTTCTGAGTGGTCCTTGTGAGGACATGGAATTCACCAAGAAATGGAGGTTGACCATAGAATATTTTAGGCCTTCTTATCTCTCTCCTTTCCCACCCTGTGGATCCCTTCAGGGCTAAGCAGGGCAGTTTCCTTTTCAACACTCAGCTTGTAAACACTTAAAAAGTTCCTGGAAGGATTAATTTGGGGCAGCCTCTTGACTATCATATTAGTAAATGAGGGCGCCCTGGCTGTGTGTGGATCTTGCTGTCAGAACCCATGGCCAGAGGTCAGAATCTGCTTGTTCAGATCTAGGGTTCCATGAGCCTACCTCAGGCTTCATTTGCAGAAATTCTTATCAGAATGAAGGCTTTGACTTGGTTCTGCAGACCCAGGGTGATAAGCTGGGAGCAGTATCATAGCTGCAGCTCAGAGAGTTACCACCATGGAAAGCATGTATATGAGGTTCCTATCAGGAGCGCATTAAACCCTCTTCCTGCAAGGATTTTATTAGAAAGGCACGATGCCGTAGTGTGCTTGTTTTGCCATGATTTTTCTTAGAACATAATGCTGAGACATTTAAAACAGTCTCTCTTCTCAGTTCCTTCTTTTAAATGCCCTAAGGTCAAAATTTAGATTTCATTATTGTTTAGAAATTCCTACTCTGTTTCTCTTTCCCACTCCTACTGGAATAGGAATCTCAATTTATAAGTCAATGGCAAGCCTGGACCCGGCCTGGACACTGTGTCTAGAGATTTTGGGAGGGGGGGATGTGCTAGGTAGATGGTTCAACTCTCCTGCTCCTCTCTCTTTGCCCCCCTTCCACTTTCCTTTACCCACCCATCTTATATTAGAGGCTCGCTACACAAAATCCGTTCATGGGAAGGGAGGGATACCCTCAGCCCAGCTAGCACCCTCTTCAATCCGGGTTCCTTTGGGCGATGTCCGACTACCAGTTTAGGCCCAATCCCGGGCATTGGGCCTAAACCAGCAGTTCAACATCCCTCCCACAGTCCTGGTCCACTGGCTCCTAATCGCTCACCTGCCTGCCTGCCTGGTTGGCCTTAACTGCCCCCCACCACCTCCCGCCAGCCTAATCACCCCTCACTGCCTCTATGTGTCAGCCTGGTCGCCCCTAATTGCCCCCCACTGCTGGCCAGGTTGCTCCCAACTGCCCCCTCACTGCCAATCTGGTCGCTCCTAACTGACCCTTCCCCCCCCCCCCCACTGGCCTGGTTGCCCCTCATGCCCCTACTCCCCACCCCACCCCACCAGCCTGGTTGCCCCATGCAGCCTTCTTGTTCAGTTGTTGGGTTTGTCCCTCACTAAGCCCCCTGCCAGCCTTGTTGCCCCACACAGCCTGTTTGTTCGGTTGTTTGGTCGTCCCTCACTAATCCCCCTTGCCAGCCTGGTCATAGGCAGCCATCTTGTGAGGGCATGAGGGTTAATTTGCATATTGCCTCTTTATTATATAGAATTCTATTCTCTAATTTCATTGTTGATCACCTGTAGGGGCTAGGCTTTTTTTCACTCCAGGGGGATGGGAATGTGATAATAACATGAAAATTAGTTGATGAAAGTTGAGTGTATTCAAATAAATAAGACGGAATTTCTCACTGAAGTTGAATCTAGCCTGGCCTGCCAGTAAAGTGTAGATGAGGATACATCTGACTCTTTGGACTTTGGTCCATGGGCAGTGAGAAGGGGTGTTTCATCCTCTGGTTTGGAATGTGTCCCAGACAAAGGGCCCCTCCCCAGGGCAAGGATTGAACCTGGTGACACTGTCCTCCTTCCTTTGCAGCCTCCAATGTGAAATTCCAAACCTGGAGTCTTATATTTGGTGGACTTCCCAAGACTGATACACCCCCTGTTTCTTAATGTGTGAATTGCAGTTTCCATAATTTTCAGCAGCTATCATTGGCAAAAGACCATTTTTTACTCATGAAATTCTTGGTCACTTTTTAGAATTGTAATAAAAAGATTTTCATTTCTGACCCTTGGGTAGTTGTATTTATCAACACGGGGGAAAGAAGTGACAGATAGAGATGGCACACCTGGGGCCTCCTGGCTAGAATGTATGCAGCTGGAAGGCTGCAGAAGTGTTTGCTTTGGCATGTTAACAGGTGAACGGTGCCAGGTGTTAGACCTGGGTCCTTGAGTTTGGCTAGGAAAAAATTCAGAGCTAAGACTGAAATACAGGTGAAAGTTTATTTAGAAAGACAGAGGTAGAGAAGTGAGCCAGCTAGGCTGCCTGGGTTTAAGAAAAGACACACACACACACACACACACATACACACACACACACACCCAACCTCCCATCTTAAGAGCTTTTTAACTAGAAGTCTCAGAGGAGGATCTCAATAGAATATTCATCAGCTTTCCAGCTTTCCAGGAGTGTCTGCTCAGGGTCATGGTCTCCACTGATTGGTCTGCATCAGGGCAGGGGATCATAGCTAGTCCTGATGTCAGCCTTGGCGTCACCAGGCCTGATCTGGTCTTGCTGCTTTTCCAGGCTTGGAGGTGAAACACAACTGAAGCCTAGATGTTATCTCTAGTTTAACTAAAACTCTGTCTTAGTGATCAACAACCTTGGTTCCTAAGATTATTTGATATAAGTCAGAACCTCCCTGTGTTGGGGTGATGCTTAAGGGAGTGATGCTGCAAGGGCTTGTTTGGGAGCCGTAGAGGCTTTTTCCAGCCCCCTTGATCCTCCTCTACAGAAGGTTTACCGATGACTAGTGACGTAACGTGGGAGGAAAGGTCAGGGGAGGACCACATGATGACTAGTGATATGAAAGATTAGAGGGTCTGAACTGCATGGCCAGCAATATGCTAGGGGAGGAAAGGTCACCCCAGGGTTGAGGTCCCACCTTACAGTTGTCCATTGGTAAGCTCCCGGAGCTTTCCACCCTGGTGACCTTTTGTATCTGGCTTATCAAATTCCTGCTCTTCTCTTGTCTGTCTTAACTGCCTACTATATCAGGCTCACATGTTTTTGTTTTTTTTTCCCCAATTTGTCTATTTCACATTGCGTAAAAAAGGATTTCTGACCTAATGTGAAAAAGCAAAAACTCTCCTGGCAAGTGCTGCTTACATTTCTATAACAATCGATTATGACTTGTTGACACCTCCTAATTTAGTGGAGCATTTTTGCCACAGTCCTCCCCACTCCTGATTGTTACACATCTGGCCTGTGCTCCTGCTTGTGTTCATGTGCATTTTAATTCCTCCAGTGGAGAATATCTTGGATTGTGATCAAGCCTCTGAGTCTCCAGGGTATCACATGCCCTAAGTACAGACCTTCAGACTGCCATCTCCTCAGTGCTTTGTATCTACCAGCGCATATCTTGCTTAGAAATTGCTCTCTTTTACGGAGAGACAGGTTAGAGTGTATGGCATCAGAGATTGCCTGGATTTGTTTCTTCGTTGACTTTATCAGTCTGAAGAATTAGTGAAACCTTAATTTGGTGGTGGGGGAGGGGATGGAAACTGAATACCCCAGTTTCTGCAGAAAGTAATCTATGTGTATGTGTTTGGCAGGTGAACGGAAAATAAGCCAGAATGGACATTTACGACACTCAAACCTTGGGGGTTGTGGTCTTTGGTGGATTTATGGTTGTTTCCGCCATTGGCATCTTCCTTGTGTCAACCTTCTCCATGAAGGAGACGTCGTATGAAGAAGCTCTAGCCAACCAGCGCAAGGAGATGGCAAAAACATATCACCAGAAAGTAGAGAAGAAAAAGAAGGAGAAAACAATAGAGAAGAAAGGGAAGACTAAGAAAAAGGAAGAGAAACCAAACGGGAAGATACCTGACCATGAGCCAGCCCCAAACATGACTATCCTCCTCAAAGACCCAGTACGGGCACCTGCAATGGCTGTGGCTCCAACCCCGGTCCATCCCTCTATGGTCATTACCCCAATAGCCACGGTACCAGCCATGCCCCAAGAGAAGCTGGCCTCCTCCCCTAAGGACAAAAAGAAGAAAGAGAAAAAAGTAGCAAAAGTGGAACCAGCAGTCAGTTCTGTAGTGAATTCTGTTCAGGTTCTTGCCTCAAAGGCTGCCATCTTGGAAACTGCTCCTAAGGAGGTGCCTATGGTGGTTGTGCCTCCAGTGGGTTCCAAGGCCACTGGTGCTGTGCAGGGCAAAAAGGGAGAGGGGACCCAGAACCAGGGCAAAAAAGCAGAGGGAACTCCCAACCAGGGCAAAAAGGCAGAGGGGGCCCAGAACCAGGGCAAAAAGGCAGATGGGGCTCAGAACCAGGGTAAAAAAGTAGAGGGGGCCCAAAACCAGGGCAAAAAGACAGAAGGAGCCCAGAACCAGGGCAAAAAGGCAGACGGGGCCCAGAACCAGGGTAAAAAAGTAGAGGGGGCCCAAAACCAGGGCAAAAAGGCAGAAGGGGCCCAGGACCAGGGCAAAAAAGTAGAGGCCCAGAACCAGGGTAAAAAGGCAGAGGGGGCCCAGAACCAGGGTAAAAAGGCAGAGGGGGCCCAGAACCAGGGTAAAAAGGCAGAGGGTGCCCAGAACCAGGGTAAAAAGGCAGAGGGGGCTTCCAACCAGGGCAAAAAGGGAGAGGGGGCTCAGAACCAGGGTAAAAAGGCAGAGGGGGCCCCCAACCAGGGCAAAAAGGGAGAGGGGGCCCAGAACCAGGGTAAAAAGGCAGAGGGGGCCCCCAACCAGGGCAAAAAGGGAGAGGGGGCCCAGAACCAGGGTAAAAAGGCAGAGGGCGCCCCCAACCAGGGCAAAAAGGCAGAAGGAGCCCCCAACCAGGGCAAAAAACAGGAGGGGTCCCCAGACCAGGGTAAAAAAGTAGAAGTTGTTCAGAATCAGAGCAAAAAGGTTGAAGGAACTCCCAACCTGGGCAAAAAGGCAGAGGGGGCCCAGAACCAGGGCAAAAAGGCAGAGGGGCCCCAGAACCAAGGCAAAAAGGCAGAGGGGGGGCAGAGCCAGGGTAAAAAGGCAGAAGGCACCTCCAACCAAGGTAAAAAGGCAGAGGGGGCTCCCAACCAGGGCAAAAAGGGAGAAGGGGCCCAAAATCAGGGCAAAAAGGCCGAAGGAACTCCCAACCAGGGCAAAAAGGGAGAGGGGGCTCCCAACCAGGGCAAAAAAGCAGAGGGGGCCCAGAATCAGGGCCAAAAGGTGGAGGGGGGCCAGAATCAGGGCAAAAAGGCAGATGGGGCCCAGAATCAGGGCAAAAAGGCAGATGGGGCTCAGAACCAGGGCAAAAAGGCAGAGGGGAGCCAGAATCAGGGCAAAAAGGCAGAGGGGGCCCAGAATCAGGGTAAAAAGGCAGATTCAGTTGCTAATCAGGGCACAAAGGTGGAGAGTACTGCAAACCAAGGGAAAAAAGCAGATGGGCCCTCTAACCAAGGCAAGAAAACAGAGGGAACCCCAAACCAGGGCAAAAAGTCAGAAGGGTCCCCCAACCAGGGCAAAAAAGTGGATGCATCTGCCAATCAGGGCAAAAAGGCAGAGTCAGCTCCTAACCAGGGCAAAAAGGCAGATACGGTTCAGAGCCAGGAGGCACCAAAGCAAGAGGCTCCTGCAAAGAAGAAGTCTGGTTCAAAGAAGAAAGGTGAGCCTGGTAAGTAGCTTTGATTTCTTTATGAACTGGGAGGAAAATGCTGTCTTTGAATAGCTTATGAATTTCCTTTGGGGAAGCCATCTTATCAGTTAGCTATTGCCACAACAAAGCTGCATAACAAACATTTTAGATTTCAGCGATTTACACCAGCAGTCATTTATTCTTGCTCATACTTCTGCTGAATTTGCTAGAGGTTGCTGATCTGGGTGGGTGCTTAACGTGTTAAATGTCTGACTGCCTTTTGTGAGTCTGTTCTCTTGTGTACCTCACCTGGTATTTTAGCATAGCTTTATTCATTTCTATGTGTTGAGAGAATAATGGTAGGATAATGTTTACAGGGAGCAGTTGTATTTATCCCTCCAACCCCTCACCCCAGTGTCCTCCCTACTCCCATTCCCGTTATGATTTTTTAATACTTTTATTGATTTCACTGAGGAAGAGAGAGAGAAACATCAGTGATGGGAGAGAATCATTGATCGGCTGCCTCCTGCATGCCTCCCCACTGGAGATTGAACTCACAACTTGGTTATGTACCCTTGACTGGAATCGAACTTAGGACTCTTCAGTCTGCAGGCCGACCCTCTGTCCACTGAGCCAAACCAGCTAAGGTTTGTTCCATTTATTTAACAGAGCATTTTATGTATGTACTAGAAGCCCGAAGATTTGTACAAGAATAGGCCTTCCTTCCCTTGGCTGTGGGTGCCACCATCTTTGTTGTGGAGTTATGGTCAATTATTATATTCTGTCTTTATTAGGTAGGATAAAATAATATAGAACATTAGTTTCCTGTTATTTTAGTTCATATTAATAGGGAAATTGGACCAATGAGTTCCTATTTCATGTTCATCACTCATTTGCTAGAATACTAGTAGTCTTATGTTTTCTTAGTTGATTTGGAAAAAGAATTGCATTTGTCTTGATGAGGCATCTTTTGTTGTTAATCCTCACCCTAGGATATTTTTCCATTGATTTTTAGAGAGAGTGGAAGGGAGGGGAGAGAGAAACATCCATGTAACAGAGATAAATCAATTGGTTGTTTCTCGCACACGCTCCTACCAGGGCTGGGGATTGAGCCTGCAACTGAGGTATGTGCCCCCGGCCTGGAATTGAACCTGAGATGCTTCAGTCTCTAGGCTGATGCTCTATCAATTGAGCTAAACTGGCTAAGGCATTGATGAGGCATCTTATGGGGCCTGAAATGTTTGGACTTATGTTGGGTAGCACAGGATTCTAGGGTTTTTATTTATTTTATTTTTTGGAACTTCTGTTTTTAGCTGGGTTTCCCTTTCTTGCACTTTAGTGAAGCTACATTACCTTTTCTCAGGCTTCTTCCTCCAACTTCAGGGGCTGTGAGGGCACCCATCCTCTGTGAGTGGCTTTGGGCTCCTGCTGAGGGTCAGGGACCATAGCTCAGGTAAACTTCTCAGGTCCTTGAAAACCCAAGTGTCTCAGCCCTGCCAGCACTGGCTGGAGGGAGCACACACTGCCCTTGTTTAGGGTGGTTTTCCACTCGACTTAGCTACCAGGGCATTTGAGATTTGAAGACAGGTATGTTGCTGAGAACAGGCCTGTTTTCTGGCTTTCCAACATCAGGGTGTTCAGAATAGAGCTTCCTATGTCTTGTGATCATTATTACCACTTAGGGCTTTAGACATCTGAGATAAGGCATGAAACAAAATGTGATTATAATATAGAAAAGAAGACAAAATGGTCCTAATTTGCATGTACTAGAGAACCTTATTAGAAGGAAGACTTAACTTTATGCCTATGGGAACCCACATAGCAGCTTGACTGAGGGTGGTATAAGGCAAAATTTGAAGAGGAAGGAAATACCGTGCTATAGGACAAGAAAGATTGGGTATTATCTATGATAATAAAAACCTAAGTGACCATTACAACCAAACAGATGACCAAACAGGCTGTGTGGGGTGACCAGGTCGGCAGGGAGGTTAGTGCGGGGGACCAAATGACAAAACAACAGGCTCTGTGGGGCACAACAGGCTGTGTGGGGCAAGCAGACTGACGGGGGGTGGGCAGTTGGAGGTGACCAGGCGGGCGGGGGGGGGGTCGTTGGGGGCGACTAAATGACCAAGTAGCAGGCTGCATGGGGTGACCAGGCCAGCAGGGGGGTTAATAAGGAGCAACCAAACGACTGAGCAGCAGGTTGTGTGGGGCGACTAGGCCGGCAGGGGGGTTAATGAGGGGCAATCAGGCTGGTAAGCAGGGGGCAGTTGGGGGTGACCATGCCAGCAGAGAGGGCAGTAAAGGGTGACCAAGCTGGTGGTGGGGAGCGGCAGTTAGGGGCAACCAAGCTGGCAGGGGTGGCAGTAAGGAGTGACTAGGCCAGTGGGGGGGGATGTGACCAGGACAGCAGGGAGGGCAGTTAGGGGTGATAAAGCAGGCAGGCAGGTTAACAGTTAGGAGCCAGTGGTCCTGGATTGTGAGAGGGATGTCCTACTGCTGGTTTAGGCCCGATCCCCTAAACCAGCAGTTGGACATCCCCTGAGGTGTCCCGGATTGGCTGAGGGGGATCCCCCCTCCTCGTGCACGAATTTCATGCACCAGGCCTCTAGTAGATAAAATGGTAGTTATTCCTAAGTTCTCTTAGGGATTTATTATTCCAGCCAAAATTTCAGTGGAACATCTGTCCCTCCCCTCCCCCCTTTAATTTGACAAAACTATCCTAAAAGTCCCATCTGGAGAGAAAAATAGATAAGAATATAAGGATGGAGTTATAAGTGGCTTTTGGAAGGCCAGTTTTACCTGATGTGTGAATGTATTCCATAGTCCCAAACTGTCGTAATTACAAGTAGGGTGCTGACCCACATGGTGGGAGGCTATCACTCCAAGGTTGCAATATGGGGCTATTGGCCATACGAACAGCCACGTGGGACAGTCAGACATGACCTACATGAAAATAGTCACAAGGGGTAATACGTGTGGCTAATATAACACCTGAAAGGTGAAAGTCTGAAAGCATGGGGAAATATTTTGTGTTCTTATTTTTATTTGTATTATCCTCACCTGAGGGAGAAACATTGATCAGTTGCCTCCAGCACTCACCCCGACTGGGGACCAGACCCACAATCTTAGTATGTGCTCTGACCGGGAAGCAAAACCGCAGCCTTTTGGTGTATAGGATGATTCTCCAAATAACCAAGTCCCACTGGCTCTTGTATTTTATTTTTTATTTCCCTGAATTTACAGTGTGTGACTTGAGCCCTTTTTTTCCTGGGGTTGGTATATAAAGTCACCTTCAGGGCCCTCCGAGGTGGATGCAGGTCACTCCCTGCCCCTACCTACATAATCGTGAAATCATGATTTTTCATACTTGGCCTTGCAACTCCACCCCGTATATGGAGTTCAGTGTTCCAGAATTAATCTGACTCACATTAGAATCTGTAGCTGTGACTGTCGCCAAGTGAGAAGCAGACCACATTCTTTTCACGCAGTTATACCTCATGTCCTTTGAGGCTCTGGTTAGCCCCAGCTGCATGCTCTTGACCTTCTTGCCTACCATCTGGGATGCAAGATGTCTGTCCTTCTATGTCTGTCCAGGGTTTTTCTACCTCCAGCCTCTCCAGGGCTGTGCATGCCCTAGAGAAGGGAACTGGATACAACTCTGGGTGGGCTGGCTGGCCCTGGGTGTCCAGAAACTCGGGAACCTGGAGAGGAGGCTTGGTGGGGGAGAGGTAGCCTGATGACCATGGGGAGGAACTTGGGGAATAGGTTCCCGATCACTGGTGTGGAGCAGGCCAGGAAGGGATTTCTAACTCCAAATTGAGGAGACTGACTCAGGTGGAGGAGGGTTCCAGGGCCATGAGATTTTTGACCATGGGCACCGAAGAACTAGAGTCTAGGGCTGTGTTGTCCACTATGGAAGCTGCTAGTCACATGGGGCCATCCATGTAAAAGCATTCAAGTCAGTCAAAAGTAATAAAGTGAAAGATTCTGTTACACTAACCACATTCCAAATGCTCAATAGTCACATGTGGCCAGCAGCTGCCCTTTCGGGCAGTGCAAATGAAGAACAACTAGGCATCAGCACAGTAGCTTCTTTTATTTTCAGCACTGCTCCAAACTGGAGTCGTTAGGAGTGTGGTGGTCTCTTGGGTCACCTTACAGGTGACTCTATGAAAACAAACACGTCTTTGCAACCCTCTATTGGTACCATGCAGCTCCTTTCTGCTTTGTTCTGTCTGTCTGTCTGCGTATGAAGTGGGGTGGGGGTGAGCTCCCGTTGTCCTCCATTTCACAGTGAGATGTGACGAACGAGATCATAGAGGCTACGGCTGGCCATGACACATGACAGATCAGTGGCAAAACTTGCTCCAGAGCTGGGGTCCACCAGAGACAAGGTTGCTTTCTTACTCATCATGAGGCCCTCGCTGACAGGTGCCCAGAGGGAAGCCCAGCAGATGTGTGTGTGGGGGGGGATGGGGGGTACAGGACACACTTCTGTAAGTCCAACTTGGAACTTTTCCAGAACTTCTGATCTAATTTTCCTACAAGAGCAAATCAAGGCCATGTGACAGCTTTTACCATTTGTCTGTGGCTGAATTTGGCAGTGAACACTTGCCTTCCTAATCCCTGCTTTTAAAAATTTATTACTGTATAAATATGTGCTTCCAGCAAACACAGTTCAAGCAGTATAAAATCATAGAAGGTAAAAAGTTAGTGCTCCTTCCTGCTTCATCCCATTTACAATCCACTTCCCAGGGGGAGCCCTGGGGATCCTCTGCTCATCACACCGAATGCACAGCTGGAGCCTACAGTGCACGTAGCTTAGGACCTGGCTTTCTTTTCTTACAAGTGTACTGGTGACACCTTCTACAGGGCTGCCGCTTTCCATCGCATGAATGTGTCATGACTTAATTAAATGATGTTAGTAGTGTTCATTGTTGTTGGGTTTTTTGCTCAAATTAATATTTTTTTTTTTTTGCTCAAATTTTTTGCTAAAATTAATGTTGCAGTGATATACGTATGTTGTGTGTAGGAAA